GGCCCGGCCAAGGCACGGGGCTGGCAGCAAAGGGCACGGCTAACCAGGGAACGGTAACTGCTTAGCACGCTCCACGCCAATAAGGAGTGCGTTGGCACCATGATGCGTTCTGAAAAATCCCTTCCTTGGATTTTTCCCCTGAGAAGTCTCAGAAAAGAAACATAAACAATAATTATATGATTGCTTGGAATGTGGTCTGGAGGTTGCGCACCAACAGGTGCATCTTGGATTGCTTCCATGTGAATTGTTTTTACCTAATGACCAATCCCAGTCCAGCTGTGTCAGACTCTCTGGTCTACCATGGGTTTTTATTATTCATTCTTTCTCTAGCCTTCTAATGTCTCCTTTCTCTTTCTTTAGTATAGTTTTAGTATATAATATAATAATAAAATAATATAATAATAAAATAATATAATAAAATAATATAACAATATAATACTATAATAATATAATAATGTAATTTAAAGTAACGCATGTAATGTTATATAATATAATTGATATTATATAGTTGATATGATATGATATGATATAATATAATATAATATAATATAATACAATATAATATAATATAATATAAGCCTTCTGAGAACTCAGAGCCAAATTCTCATCTCTCACCTTGTCCTGGGGACTCCCAACACCACAACAACGGATCTTGCCTGTTATAATACAACAAATACCAGTACTATCCCAGGTTCTCTCAGTGCATGGATCCAATTCTGGCTGAACCTGACAACACATTTTCTCCTGTCTCCAGCCAACTGAATTTAAAAGCAGTCAGTGAAATACAGTGAAGCAATCTTATATCTCATTGGTTACATCAACAAACTCTTCAACCAGTTGCCACTCTAATACATATAATATTTATTTGGCACTATTTTGACTGAAGGTACCACTGTGAGGAAAATAACTTGAATAAAGGTGATCCCTTTAACTGAATCTGGGCAAAATATAGCATAATCACAGTAGCATTACTTGTTATTTATTCTGACCTCTGTATCTCTCCCACATCTGGGTCTACAGTACACTAGCTTAAAAGATAAAAGAACTTATAATTCATTATAATTTAGTGCATTATAATTTAGGCACACATTACTCTACAAGCTTTGTTCAGCCTTGTATCAAACCAAGGTAAGTATTCTGTACTAGTGGCTAGATTGCCACTTCAGCTGTGGGAGCAGGGATAAACAATCTTTATCTCCTTACTCATCAGTCTGAGTAAATCACAAGGCAGAATGGCAGAGCCCATTTCCTTGGCCGTGTGTTTGGCCAGGTCCAGCTGCACATCACAAGCCAGTCTAGCCCAGCAGCTCTGTCAGGATGAGCAGCACCAGGCATGCAGGGCTGTGACAGGAATCCAGGGAACCTTGACCGTGGCAGTCTCTCTGCTCTTCTGTGCTCATTAATAATGGCTAACAACAGCCCATCTGCTTAAATGCAATTCAGTTTCTAAGCCTTCAAGATCAGTTTTCAAAATTCCCCTTTTGGCTGGTGACACTGCTGGTAACTCTGTGTTTCCCTGAGCATGTTCTATGTTGCCTTTACTCTCCATATTTCAGAACACTGGAAAAATCTGATGATTTTGCCAGAGAACTTTTGGTAATCATAATATACTGGTACTGTGTTTAGTCTCTAAGCACCTGTGTTTTGTGTACAACCTCATCAGCTCTGGACATTTCAAAAAACATTTTTATCCCTATACTGCAGCAGCAGAAAGCCTCATAAGCTAGACTATCTCATGTGCATCTTTGCAGCTCAGCAGTAGCCCTGAGAAATTTGAGAAATAGATATAGAAAACCTTGTTTTCTTCTTTCTAATAACATATACCATCTCATTACTACCTCTTCCTTCCCACCTTACTCACTGAATCAGTTCTACATTCTTCAAAAGCATCAGAGGTATGCTCATAGAATTGTTCTTATCAAAGCAAAAACTGACACAGAAGAGAACAGCTGTTAAGGCTGGCCCAAGTTTTCACAGAGCCCCAAAGCCAGTTTGGGAAGAAATCAGGCCCTGCAAAAACCAAACCACCAAAAGGCTCTCACCCTCAGGAACACACATCAGCCTGGCAGATCCCCCTGCTCCCAGTGCTGTATGCATCTCCCAGGCCTTTTGTACAGGCAAGGGAGGGCTGCCTTAACCAGAGACAGACTCAAAGGCCCAGACTGCACAGCCAGGCTTTGCTCTTTTCAAGAGAGCACAATAGCTTCCCATCCAAACTCTAGCCTTAAATGTGATGGTCTATTAAATCCACAATCCTTCAGAAAGATGACTATACAAGACAAGTCAAATGTACCAAAGGAACAGTGTTAATTTATAGTTTTGAGAATTTATGATTTTGTAAACTTTATGTACATTTCAATGAACAAGAATGGTTTGAAGACACTGGGTCCAGTGAAACACTGAAATAGCCTGTGCTTCAGTAATGACACTTTGCTTCATTACATAAATGAAGCAATATAATTTCCTCTATTCCATAGTATTCTCCTTCACAAATAGCTTTGTAGTTCATTAAGTAAGGTTAATGTATTTCCTTTGTACCAGAATGCAAGTTAAAATATTTTAAAGCTGGTAACTCTGTGTTTCAACCTGAATATATCCACCTGTCCTTTGCCAGAGTAACTACAGCAAAACAAAAGCCAATCTTTTGGGTAAAACAAGTAAGCAGGATCATTGCAAAGTAGTATAAGGAATGGTTTAGTTTCATTCTGCTTTTTTCCTCACTGCAAACTGAGCAGGCTGCAAATATCAAGCAGGGGCAGTTTTCCATGCAATTGCATGGAAGGGAGAGGTTTGAGCAGTCTGGTGTTGTGGAAGCTATCAGGATGTATAAAAATGTATTTCATTAAACACTGAGTGAAGACTTCCCATTCTGCCTGAGATCTATAAGGATCTATAAGGAGTTCTTCTTGTTTTCCTTAAGCTGTAGACAAGAATTTGCTCTTGAATCAGGCAGCTACTGGAAGGAAATTAAATGCAAGTGTTAATTCACAGAGGGAAAAAGTGAAGTGAGGAAGACACATAGTAAGAGTCATAACAACAGTGTCAGGCTCAGTTTAAACCATGTACTAGTTAAAAATTTCTGTATATTCATATACTAGTAAGAGCATTCAACATAAGATATACATGCAATGAGAAATGGTAAATAACATAAATTGCAAGTGATCTAAAATATGAATACTAATAGTTATAATTCTGCAAAGGCAGACCAGATGTCTCCACATATATTAAACTGCTTAGTCTACTGACTGGAAATCCTTTCATAAGCTTGCCAGCTCCCCAAGATTACCATAAGAGCTTGATGTCTATTCAGTAAAGTTGTACACTTCAGTTTCTAAAGGAGGAGTTTTAGGGAGCTTGAGGCTACTTGAAGTAAAAAATATAGCAACTCACAAGAACATATTCCCTACTGAGCCCAAACCAGCAGTGTACTCTTTAGGTTGTATTCACTCTGAAGGCTTAATTTTCCTTTCTGCTACACCACTGCAAAACAGAAAGGATGAGGCCTTCAGCTTCCTGCAGCTTCAAAACTCCTCCTTCCCTCTGCTCCCCTCTGCTTCTCTGGCTCCCAGGCACTGAGATATGGGACTGATAGGCCAATTCCAAGCTCCATCCTCAGCTCCTCACAGAGGCCAAAACTTAATTTTACCTGATCTCATGTGTGGGCCTATAGTGCTTTGCCGTGCCTTTGGACATCTTTACCCACACTGTGAACAAGTCAGGTCAAAGTGACCATAAAAGACCAACCACTTCTCAGATTAGGGTGTTTCTAAAATTCTTCTGATTTCAAAGAGAGCATTCCTCTGTTCACTAGTGAAAATCAGGAAAGCACAGCCAAATGTTCTTCTAACTTGGTTACCATATGAAGAAAAAATAAAAAAAAAAAAAGTAATATTCAGGGGAAAAAAAAAGCCAACAACAAAAAATTCCCACCCTGGTCTAAATGTTAATTCTTTAAGGTACCTCCTGGTACCAGACCTGGCTTCTCCAAACAAGCAGAGAGAGCTGCACTGCTCAGGTGGAAGACCTGCCAACACAGCCAAGGAAAAAGCTGGCCTTCAGCCTTCACTTCACCCCTGTTCACTTGGAGGAAACCAGTGCCTGTGCTGGGTCTTCTGGCCTTTCACTCATGCTCCCACCTTTCTTCTCACCCAGTTAACTCAAATGCATTCCAAGCACAGGGAAACACAGCCAAGAGAAAGTGGGCTGACTGCACTGCTGAGAGGTGCATATTCATAGGAAACAGAAATTAAAGTCAGTTTTCAGCATTTAGTACAAAAGAGAAACTAAAGTAAATTTTCAGCGTTTCCAGGGAGCATGCTGGAACCTGCACATTGTGTTAAAGGGTAATGGGTAAAGGGTAAAAAACCCTCTCTAAGGCACACTCTGAAATGCTCTGGCCCACAGGGCGACATGGTAAAAGCTCAGCAGGGCTGACCATCGTTAAGTTAAGTATGTGGTTGAGCAAATCAAGAAAAGAAAAGCCTTCCCAGAAGAACATCCCATCCCAGCTTCAGTGTCCAGCTTACCTTTTGCCTTGGGCTTAGGCTAATCCTTCTGCCACCAACAGCACAAACAGGGTTTCTGACACGAGCCCAGAGGAGGAGAGCCCCCCGGAGCCCCGGATCTCACCTTGCAGGAGCACACGGAGCACCGGTCCTCCCGCAGGGTCCACACCTGCCCGTTCCTCTTGAGGCCCCCCTCGTGGGGACAGTCTCCAGTGCAAGATGGCCCCGAGGGACAAAGGCAGTCAAAGCCTCCGGGCAGGTTCACACAGGCCGAGTCATTCCAGCAGGTGTGGATCTTTAAGGCACACTCATCGATATCTGCAAAACAGCAATATAAAGGTTCATAAAAGCTTTAGGCACATGTTTCATGGGGTAAGCTTTATTTCTGAATTAAGTAATTATTGCTTATTGCTGTTGCTGGATGAGGATGTATTCCTTTTTATAGCTTCCATATTTACTTGGTAGACTTAAAGCACTGATGGCTTTTAGGTTATTCTTCAGCATTTACTTTGATTCCACAAAGAACTCCTAAATAATCTCATCAGGCTGAATTGTAAATGCTGAGTATGAGGTACCTGGTGAAACCATACATCAGTGACAAATTGGAACCTTCAGATAAATGTGCATATTCATTTCCCAGTGACTGGAAACTAGCAAGCAGAGTGGCTTTCTGTTAACGAGACCACTCTCTGTTCTGGGTTTTACATCAAAATAGAATTGCATTACTCTTTATAATTTCCTAGCACAAGCAACATTCCCCATAATAAAGCAGTCAGTTGCATCCTTTCCCCATTGCTGGAAGGTGTAAATGAATTGGCAAAAAAAAGGAATAAAAAAGAACTTGGAGGCACCTTATACACAAAAAAACATGTCTTAAAGCTATGCAGTATGATTTAGCAATGACACAAAGAATAGGTGACAAGAGAAAATGATTATACACCAGAGAAAAGCGAATTACAGTATCCCAATAAATTTGCTCTTGGAGGGTAAAATATAATTATGCAATATGAATTTATCTAGGGAGTTCATGCAGTGTTCTTTTTCTTGCAATGAGAGCTATTAGATTTTTAAGCACATTGCATTGCTAAAAATTGGTGTTTCTTTCAGACAATAACTTTGGATTTTTCTTAAACAATATATTGGCAAATTGTCCAGATGAAATACCAGTACACTGGTGGGTCTCTTTTGCTCCAACATGAGCAATGAAAACTGTACTCAACAGTTTTCACAGTTGAAGGAAGGGTAGAAAATAAAATCCTTTAGAAGTATGTGATGGTTTGTGTCATGATAGTTCCAGAATAGCATTAAGTAAATTCAGAAATTACAAGGAAGAACCACCATACTTATAATTTGAAATTACCTTATTGCTAGGGTGAAATTTTAACTGTTCAGTATTACCCAACAGTATTTTTAACTTCCCTCTACACCAACAAAGTCAGAAGAACTTACAAACAAAAAGTTACCTAAAGTCTAATTTAGGTAGGATGTGATGTCCAGTGGCTTTACTTTTAGGACAGGTGCTACAAGTTCATAATTCATCACCTCAAAGTGTCCTATCTTAAAAAGACTAAAGATTCTCTCATTCTGCTGAAGGAAACTCTTTACAACAACCATATTGCTAAATTCAGTATAATTCCTGATTTCAACTCACAAATACTCCAGGAACAAGTGGAAATGTGCTCACACCCTTGGAATTTGATGAAATGTGAAAATCAGCCTGTACAACCGAGTCAAAGCTGCCAGAAAATGACTTTTCATTGTTGTGCTCACAGATGCAAAGGGAGGCTGGAGGTAATTTATTTCCCTGCCTGCCCAGGGCTTCACTCCTGGGCTAACCTGTGGGCCAGTCCTTTGCACAAAGGGTCCCAGTGGCCTGACAGCCTGGTTCCACTGCTCATCACTCACACTTGCCTACAAATGGGGCATTTTGCTGTCCTGAAAGTCTGAATTGCCACAAAAGAACATCGTTGCTCTAGTGCACAACTTAGCCATAACTGAGTGCTTGAAATATTCACTACTGGTGGTGAAAAAGATGAAGCACAAAGATAAATTAAAATTTGTAGTTCATTGTTTAACAAGTGCCAGAGTACGGCAGGAGGTAAAAAGCATGAAGACTGACATAAAGAGAACTATGAATGAACTGGTATCAAATGAATTATATCCAAACAGCTACTGTAAAACTTAAAACATTCTCAAAGATTTCCCATTTTCCTTTCAATAGGCTTTCACTTGTATTTTTTGTTGAAAACAAAGGTATAAATGAAGTATTCACGTTGCCTTTGGTGGTTTCAACAAGCACCACCAATACTGCCTTCCCTACCACATTAAGAGCTCCTTGACTGTAATCTGTATAGGATGGAGTAGAATAACAGTGCAGATTGGAAGGGTAGCTTTCACAGCTCAAAACTAAAAGGATTTCACAGATGAAGATAAAGCCATATTGCCTACAGAGTTGCATTTAATTGCTTTACTTATGGCACTGAAATCTAATTCTGTTTCCATGTAATTTAACAGATTTATGGAAAGCCAGATGTTAGCAATTACAGAAACTAACATTATTCATGTTTTCAGTAGTACAGACCTGTTCACACAAAGCCAACTTAATCTCTAACGTGCATGCAGAAGGGAAGAACCCCATTTATGTACCTCTGCTGCTGGTCTCCATTTAGCACACATAAAAAGGATGTCCCTGTTAAGAGCAGCCCAAACTGGTAAACGGGTGATTCTTGATGAAGAATCAAGCAAAGCATGAACATAAATTCCTAACTGCTATGCAGCTTTTTGGTTCTTTCTGAAAGAATAGTTTATTATTCTTTTTATGGTATTTATTATTTAAAAGTTTTAGCCATTAGTCAGATATAAAAGGTTTGGATTGGACATGCACTCATTTCCAGCAGAACTTTTAACAGAACTAACTTTTTGAGAACATCCCTTTGGCAGCTTTTTTGTCGATGTTGATTGCATTTCCTAAAGCCAGAACAAACAGATAATGTTCCTAGTAATTTGGGGGGAAAAAGTTACAAGCATGACATGTTTTTGTCCCTGTCTCTCCTTTAGCCTAAAACCAGACTGGGGGCATGGGGAAGGAAGAAGAGCCCAGCCAAATGCTCCCACATGGTTGGTTCTCAGTTAGGTGCAGAAAGTATTTTATTTAGTGAAGATCAAATGTCCATATGAGGGTGAGATCAGCATGTAGATGGCTATATAAAGCATGAAAGAAAGTACTTGTATTTAGTGTGAAATTTCTCCTCAACAACTGGAATCAATGGTTATTCTTAGGTTATTCTTCAGCATTTGCTTTGATTCCACAAAGAACTCTTAAATTATCTCCATCAGACTGAACTGTAAATGCTGAGTCTGAGGTACCTTGGTGAAACCAAATATCAGTGAAAAACTTCTTCAACTTAGGTGTTGAAAAGTTAATCTAGTTCAGCTGTCCAAAACAATAATTTAGTGAGTGTGAAAACTTTGATGAGACTTTTATTTTTGTAGTGTTCAAATCCTTGCTTAGCTGAAATTCTCCACGTCCCATCAGGTTTCATTTGCTTTCCCACACCTGTTCTCGAAAATGCAGGCCCAAAACTGGAACATTTAGAGATGGGCAAGGCAAAACTGCACGTAAATCTCATTTCCAATTATGCCAACACAAAGTAGGAAGGAGATAAAATATTAGTTTATAAATCAAGCAACTTTGAAGAACACTGGAAATAGTAAGGAGACTCCTTATTCTTTCCTCATATATAAAGGACAAGACCAAAACATCTGCCTTTATGTCTGGAGGCATCAATTCTTTCATGTATCCTGTCAACCCATGGAAATGACCTGATTTTCACACTTGAAATAGGATTTTGCAATTTTATTTATTATATACTGAGATTCTCCAAGGCAAAAACTACTAATTAACCCCAATAAAAGTGGCAGAGCTTTCCTTACCCTCTCCAGACAGTTCCTTCTCAAGGAGAGGTGAGGGTATAGTGGTAACACCCATACTGAGGAGAAATTTGCTTGTACTGCAAAGTTTTACGCAATTTTCTATCAACAACACAGCAGCAGCAAAGGGATTGCTGCCAAGACCTCACACAAGTGATCAAAATTTTCACTCTTCAAACTCTCCAGCCAGTGCTTCTATGAACAAATGCACAGCCACAAGTGACCCTACACATTTTAGCAATCAGTCACATTTTGTGAATGAAAAAAGAAAGAGAAGGAAACCACCCAAGAGATACTCATTCCCAATATACTCCCAAAGTACATGGATAGCTCAGTAATGTGGGCAGGCAAGGAAACAGAATCAAAATGGAAGCAAATAATCCCCTGAGATGCAATTTCCTTTTCCATCCTTTTTGGCTGTAATGAGAACTAATTTGCCTCAGATATTGTGAGAGGTCCCACGGCCACTGCATTTGAATCAGGTAGAAGACAAGCATGACTGTACATATCAACACAAGTTCATTAACTTGCTTTCACTGAAATTTGAAATCAATCCCCAGCTACTTCATTTCTTACTTTTCAAGGCTATCCAGGTTTTAATTGTAAGACTTTTCCACAGCACCTTAATAAATGTGTGCAAGCAAGCCATGCAGTGTGGAGTTCTGTATCATCATGATAAGCTGTTGCAGAAGAAAGAACCCCACTAATGTGCTAATTTTAACTGTTATGGTACATTAAACCATTGCAGTATATTGTTAACGTGAATAATGTAAGCTGGGCTCCCAAACCAATGTATGTACAAGTTAACTAAACTGTTTTGACAAATCATTTTTCACAGACAACTTGTCATTTAATGATTGTTTTGCCTTCTTTCTAAACCAAAGTTATTTGGAGTTGTCCTTGAAAAACTATCACCAAATGGATTCATTGTTAGCTAGAAGATATTTTATGATAGTACTTCTATTCTATAGAGACATAATGGTCTATTAAAGAACAGTTCATAATAAATTAGATTCTGAATGAAGAATTTACTAAAGCTTCCTAAAAATACAGAAATGACTAAACACAATTACCTTGAAGATATGTAACACAATTTTCTGCCAGAATACAAAAATTAGACTTTACTAGATGGAAAGTAAATAAGATAACCTTTATTTTACAGGATAAAATCCACTGACACCAACTCTGATACTGTGAGCTTTAAGAAATTCTATGAGCAGAACAGAAGAAAGCTGTGAAATAGCAGGTTCTGTTTGGCCTTGGATACTCTGTACCACATGCAAACCTTTCTGCCTCCACAGCACCTCCCTACCAACAGATAGGAAAGTAATTCTCAGGCATACGGGAAGATTTTCCAGGGATGGGTCTTTTCCTTTTTGTGTGAAACAGAAAGGGGGAAAATAAAATCTAACCTCCTTTGCTTTTACTTTCTAACCTAGATAAGAGACCCCACTGCAGCATAGCATGGAATACATGAAAGCTTCAGGAACAGGTTTAAAGCCCATTCAGATCTGACCTGCCAGCACTGCTGCACCCAGCTTTTGTGGGGGACTAATACTTGTGGGGTTTCCTTTCATGAGCTCTTCATCCTGCCTTTTCCCAGCTCTGCCTTCCCCAAACCAGCAACTCTCACCCTGCAGTGACCTCTGGCTACACTACCTGTCAGGCTGGAATAAATGGTGAATCCCACGGGGATTTGGTGGGAGGAGGATCCATGTTAAGCTTCCCTACAAAATTTGTAGTGGTTCCTAAAGAAAAAAAAAAATAAACAAAACCTGACAGGCCCTGCTGCCTTGGTGGCTGTTCCTTCTGTGAGTGCAAGTCCCAGTGCAGGGACCAAGAAACACAACTCATCATGAAAAACACAGAACCAGTAAATCTGCACTCCAGGCTCTGAACAGCACTCTACAGACTGAAAGAATCTCACTCGGAGATGGAGATTGAAAAGTATAATTTGCTTTGGATAGATAGTCACAAATGCTGTATCACATGAGAGCTCATCAGTCTCTATGAAGTTTTATTGTTTCTTTACCTCAGATTGCAGCCAAGCCCCTATTACAAAATTAAAAAAAAAACCAAAAACAAAAACAACCAAACAACACAGCAGCTACAGGTTTTAATTGCCAGGCAAACTTTGGTAGCAACTTTGTACAGCAATTGTCTTTTGTCTGCAAGCAGTTTTTCTTAATAACGCATTGTGAAAGACCAAGGGCTCACAAAACCACTACTGTGGGAAATCAAATTACATTCTCTTAATTTGAGCCTACTCACCATCACTATATGAAGCTGACATCCCTGATAAAAGCTGTCTTTGGTTGATATTTTGAGCAATAAAAGAATTTCCCCAATCTTGAAGGGGCCTGGCTAAAACACACATCCTTATTATCCAAGCTCTGACGCAATATTATGACCTTCTCTGCCACATCTGCTGATTTACTCAATTGTCCCTCACCAGGTGACAAACCTCCCTGTTTTCTCTTTGTCAATGAGAATTTAGCTTTCAGAAGCACTGAGGTATCACACTTCCCAAGTAGATGCTATTTTTCTTAATGTTTTGCAAGCACTGCAGAGATAGTGCAAGCAATGACTCAGCCCCGTAACACCCACATCAAATGGAGGGAAAAGGGGTTAACCAAAATGTACAGAAATGCATCCAACAAAAGCCACTGGCTGCCTGGGCTTTGGGCAGCCTGACAGAGTAACTCCCTCCCACTGTCTTGTGATATTTAAGACTCTGTGTAATATTTATTGTTATTATTCTGTAGGAAGGGGTTTAATCTTATTTCTTAAGGTTTTAGCCTATTTATTGTTCTCCAAGTTTGTCCTTGGGAGGAAGAAGAAATGTTTCAAAACACACTGAAAGCCTATGGCTCATACCCACCTCATGTACACAAATTCAATAGACAATACAGCAGAAAAAAATACTGTTGCTAAGCAGATGAACCCTCTTTTATCTGAAACAGAGTGAAAGACACCAGTTCTGACTCTAAATGTTCCACCATGCAAACAAGTTCTGTAATGTGGCATATTAGCTAGAAGGTGCAGTGTTCTCTCTCTGCTGTTTTACCCAATTCTTAGTTGCATTTTGAAATAAACATCAGGGTTTGAAATTTGTCAATGGGTTAGCAGAACCTTCCAATTAATTTTTTAATTATTTTATTTCATTATACTTGTGAACCAAACTGGTTTATTTTTCTCCCTCACTGGTACCCTGCAGCAGATGGTTCAGAGAAGCTGTTTCTTTAAAATAACCCCACTAATTTCTCATTCTGTTTACAACACCTCACCTCACAGACTTCCAGCATGCTGTGCAGGTCAAAATGAGGGCAGGGTGTTTGCATGGAATTTTATTCCTCCAGTCTCCATCAGCACATCTGGGGCTCCTTTTTGCAGCATCCAACCCTTCAACAGGGATTCAGTGCAAGAAAAGCTGACCTTTCCAGAGCTGAGCCTGCCTGGGGTCAGCCTGAGTCTTGCCTACGTGTCTGTCTGTCTGTCTGTCTTCTGACATCAGCCTGGCTCTTGACCTTCTGCTCCCCAAAGCAGGCACAGGAGCACGAGGGATGGGGCTCCCCACGTGCGTGGTACAAGCACCAGAGATGCTAAAAATGCCTCTGACCCCCAGTGCCTCAGGGCTGTCTGAAAGTTATGTCATGTTGCTCTGACTTCTCACAAAGAAGCTGTTTTCAACATTGCTCCATTCATCACTCATTTTACAACATTCAAATGAACCAGAGGAGGACTCTTAACATTTGAGAATTCATTTAGAAATACATGACATTCATCTGTTTTATCTATGGAATCCTGAAATGCTGTCAAATTTGCCATTTTTTACACAGACCCCTCTGAAGAAGCTCACTGCTGTGATTATACTGAGCTCACCACCAGCTTAGGACAATGTGTAAAAAGCTAACTTAGCTGGACAATCTACAAAATATTGCTTTGAAAATCATTATCATTCCTCTGCATTTTTAAATTATGACACTACCTTATCCCAAGGTAGTGTCATAATTCTGGCTATTCTAATAGTCAGAATTCATAAAACATGACAATGTTTTTACAAGTAAATTTACATATTTTTGTTACAATTTTAAAATTTTAATTATAGATTTTTAAAAATCTATAATTAAATCTATAATAATCATATAATTATATAACATATAATTAATATAACATATCATTAATCTATAATAATCATAGAAAACACCCTTTGAAGTTATGGACATGGTAAATTAAATTTACAGCATTAAAAAAAAAAACAAAAAAAACCACAAAAGGAAGAAAAGAGCTTTAATAGAAATCTCATACAACTGACTAGAGATGAAGTAATGGAAATGCCAAAGAAAGGACACAGTAACACTGGGAGCCACTTGATCTCCAACTCACAGAAGTTAAAATGGGGTCCCTTCTAAAGAGTTTTAAACTCACCTGATAAAATACCACAGAAATAAATTATGTATAGGGCAAACAACTGAAAAGATGGGGAAACTGTAAGGCAGGGGAAAGGCAGAATTACCAATAAAATATTACCAACAAAACCATCTTCACCATGAGGGTAGAGCCAGTGAGGACACACAGACTGCAGGAGCCAGCATTGACTGCTCATGGAGCCTCATCCTTTGTCCTCCCACAGAAACACTACAAACTCTCTGCACTCATTAAAAATCCCTCTCTGTTCATGCTCTTGGGACCTTATTCTGCAAATATGGTGCACAGAGAATTTGATGCTATTTACATAATCCTAAAAAATTAACGATGAAGATGCTGAAAAATGGAAAACAAGCAAAGCAAAGCAATACAGACATGCCACAGATAGGTTCTTCTATCACTGGGTTGAAACCTTGAATTGGAGAAGCATCTCTCCCCCTCTTGTGGGCAGTTGTGATCCCCAAGGCCACTTTTACTCCAGGTTTCCCAGCTCTTTGCTCTGATAAAGGGAGCAGAGCAGCGGGGCAGGCTGGGGATGCCCCTCCTCGCTGGGGGTGCTGACAGACAGACGGACAGACACCTCGGTCCCTGCTCCCTGCGCAGGAACTGCCCAGTCCCTCGGGAAGGCCATGCAGAAGGATGAAAAGAAAGGCTCTCTGAGGATGCTTACCCACACAGGACTCCCCGGCAGGAGAATAGCTTCCATTGTCATGGAAACCGCTTCTGCACTCACAGTGGTACCACCCCGGGAGGTTAACACAGCGAGAATGGCTGTGACACGCAATCATCCCCTCTGCACACTCATCAATATCTGCCTCAGAGAAAAACACAAGCCAGCCGGGAAATTAATTTCCTTTGACACCAATACCGTAGGTTTGTTTTTTTTTTTTTTTTTTTTTTTTTTTAATCTTATTGGTTTGGAGTTTTTTTTAAAGATTTCCTTTAATAGATGGATCAAGGTTTATTACAGTTCCAAACAACAGACATTTAAAGCGTGACTCACAGAACAACAATAAAAAATAACAATAATACATCATGTAATCTGTTACAGACAAGACATCCTTTTACACCATGATTTGCTGAAAATGCAAAGCAAACATGCAGATTTTTTGTTCCTTGTTTGGTTTTTGGTGTTGGGGATTTCTGTTTGCTTTTTTTACCTCAGAAATTACATTTGTCTGTGCATTTAAAGCGCTGCAGAACAGGTTGTCCACTGAAAAGGCAGTTTCAGCAATATTCCTGCTTTACAAACTGCATGTGCCAGGACACCTTGGAAAGGAAAAGCATTTTTTTCAAGATTTGTGTTTCCAGCATTCAGCTGAGATATTGGCAGCTCTCTGGAACTGAAGGTGCTCAGACCACTTCACAAACACTGGTTAATCTCTTTTGTTTATGTGATCCAAATAAATACCCAGTACAAGTGTAACAGCGTGTGACAAACAGAAAAAGCAGTCCACGTTTCAGCTGCAATAAAACATTTAGCTGGAAAAGAGTGAGGCAAATGACAGCAAGTCTGTAGCAATGGAAAGATCCAGCATGATGAACTCCTTGCTGAGTTTCAATAAATGGGATGTTTTCAGAAAGGGGTTTCTCAAATTTCTGTAACACGTTTAATAGAGATTTCGTAATTGCCAGTAACCTTGGCTAATCATGGCTGGCACCTGGCTGCTTCTCCCCTTTGAGCATTTTTCAGCACATTTTGTAGGGTTGTAATTAAAATTAGCAAATTAATTATATGCTAACCTTGTGGTAATTTACAAAGCCATTATATTTTCATTCCTCTATTCAGCTCAAGCTTTTTTTTTTTTTTTTAATTTTGGACAGTTTTCAGCTGGGTAACTTATCAATTAAAAGGAGACTCAAATCATTCCCAAATAATTCCCACTTTCATCCAGAGATTTTTTTTTCCTGGCACACTTTAAATGTGCATAAAAAACCAAAAAAACTTGGTGAAAATAGGTTTGGAAACGACATTTAGCTCCACAAGCATCAAACGACAAATGTCTCATGATCCTGATGCAAGACTGACTTAAGGTGATTAACTAACCACAGAATGTAGCTTCTATCTCCATTTCCAAACTGCATACACCAATATGGTTTCATGGACTGCACTAGAGTCATGCTGATGTACATGGAAATAGATTTGAATGAAGTATCCCTCAACACAATCCCATTTTCTTACATCTTACAAGCAATACCATAGAGAAGTTTGATTTTTCCTCATTTCAGTAACAATATTTATTCTTGTTGAAATATGGCTGAGAAACCTAAAAAATGCCATTTTCCAAGGTTTGTGTTCACCCTCGCTCAAGCATGAACCAAGTTATCTACATAAAAGGATCATAAACACTATTTATTTCTAGCTTTATTCAGCTCCCATCTAACAAAAAAGTCAATTTTTAAATGCTTTAAGACCTGTCACTGCTGTCACCTTTTCTGTACTTTGTACCTTGTGGAAGCTAATTTTAGTGTTAAAACACTGCACGAATGTAGCTGTCCATCAACAGTGAGTGCTGCTTGCAAACTCAGACACTTCCAATTCATTACAGCAAATGGAATTTATAACCATGATCTTTTCACATGTCATGGCTGATGAAACAGGTTTAATCCTATTTGGAAAGTGAATGACTTTGCTACTGCAGGTCAATAGCAAACGAATCCCTCCTCTTACTTTCCTTTCTTTCCCAGTGTTGGACTGGAGAATGTTTCTGTTCAAAGACTGCTTTCTTGTGTCAGTCCTGCACTGGGCTTCAATCTGTTCAATCTTACATTTTTAATTTACAAAATTAACAGAGAGCTCCTGAAGTTCATTTCTAAGCTTAAGCCCTTTCAAAAGTGTACGATTTAGGCTCATGGCAAAGGACACTAACTGACTAGCAGTCAGCTTTTCAGAAAGCCTGTCTGCCAGCGTACCCAAACTTTACTAGGCAGCACTTCATTCAGTGGAAGAAGAGCCATTAGGTCAAAAAGTAAAATAATACACAGAACTCCCTCCAGACTAGACGACTTTACTGTGGCAGTACCATGCCTGTTCCAGCTTTTGTTCCCTGATCTGTAGGGAGACACTAACCAATTTCTTCAACCTGCAGAGCTAGGAAAAGAAGACTTGCTTTCAGTTTTACATGTTCTTCCTTTACTTCCACATCTCCTTAGAGCAGTGGGGCTATGCCAGCATTGTCCTACACAGACTGGGGGCAGTGGGCAAAGGACAAGAGAAGCTATGTGGGCTTTTTGGGAAAATCTGCCCTGACAGATTTTCAGACACCATTGGTGTGGAAGCAACTAGGAAAAATCTCTTCAAGCTCTACTTCACCAGTACCAAGGTTAAGCTCAGCACTCCTCCTTGCTCCCCAGCCCAGCCTTCTCCTGCATGCTGGATCCAGGCTGGGAGCATGGAGCAGAAGGTGAATGGGGAATCAATTCTCCCTCTGCTTCTGCAGCAGGTTAGGATTCCTTTGGGAGCACACCAGCAGCAGCAGCACCATGTGATGAGATGTGCATGAAGAGCTGTATCAACAATGAAAACCCTTAAGAGCATCTCTGCTTATCCAACACATTCCTGTTCCTTGCACATAAACACTTTTTAAAGGGTTGGAAATACCATGATGAGCTCTGCAAGCTTCTGCTGTCATCCTTGTTTGCAGCATGTGTACAAACACGGGTCAGTGGGAACAGGAAAATACTGTGGATGTTTTAGAAATTGAGATTTACGATGCTCAGAATACCAAGAGGGAAAAGCAAATAACAGCTTCATAAAATGGTGTGTCACACACCATGACATTATTGAGTTCAGTTAATAGACCATTTCCAGCTGGACATCCTAAGTCCTCAAAACCCTTTTTTTGAGCATTTCTTCTGCACAGAGAAATGTTGATATAGATAAGAGCCAGTTCAGGGAATAAGAATTAATTCACTTCTCTTCATCATTGCTTTTCCATCTTTAGATTCTAGCACCATATTTGCATATTTGCCTCAGGATAAAAGTCTGGTTTGGTGTTTTGCTGTAGAATTTGAGTTAGACATACACACTATTTTTGTGTGTTTTGTGTGTGCAGATGCTTACCAGATTGTGCTATATGTACTTTCTTCTTAAAGGTATATTAAGCTGAAATGAAAGTGTACAGTTCTGTTCTGTGAGTGAGAACAGTGTAGAAATTATATTCTTTTTCAAAGGAGCACATTAAAACCTGATCAGAAATTCTGTCACTTCACACAGACCAGAAGAAATAACTGGTGGGCATCTTTTGGCTGTGCTGCCATGCTGCAGGTGTTGCTTGCCCTCAGTGCTCCTGGCAGCAGGATGGGCAGTTTTGTCTGGGCTTTCTGCATGTCTGCATTAGTGTCTAGCTAGCCAAAAATAGAGTGCTCATGAGAAAGTGCCAATTTAATGTTTCCTTGGGAAGTGGAAAGTTTCATAATCTTAATTTCCCTCTGCAGTCTCTGGCTAAATATCTGCACTACCTTTCCATTAAGGGTAGTATTTTTCATTTCTTGCTCCAAGACATGCTGCTTTTACCACCATGACACTGTTTCTGCAGGTTTTTTTTCATTCAGGCCTTGTTATAACATCCATGTAAAAGGAGATCTCATACAAGCCATCTTGTTGCCTGCTTTTTCCCCACTCAGTCATTTGACTGCCATTAGGAGACAACTGTTAATGGATGTGGAAATACTCCACTATAGTGGCTCTGCAAATGCCCATAAATGGCACATTTTTGCACTGGAGAATAAAGGTACCAGTTGGTTTCACATAAGCTCTTGCAAGATATTAATCCTGTCCTTTAAGGACAGGTCTGTAATTTTTACTTTTAGCAGCTTCTTGCATTATTCATATAAGTATTTATGCAGACAAGGTAAATAGCATAATTTATCTCAAAATAAAACACAGTGGCTTCAAAACCCTGTGAAAAAGTAAAATTAAAATAATTCAATCTTTTCTAATGCCCCACCACATTTAAGTCACTGTGTGATAATACTAAAAAGGAAGCCTGTTCAGTGTCATGTAACAGCCAGCAATCTACAGTTTCAATGAGACAGAAGAGCTTTACTGTAAAAGTGTCTATTCATCAAACCATTACTGTATTCTTTTTCATGCAAAAAATATACATTCCTTATCTTTAGTTTCCACTGACTAGGAGACCTATAAGCAGGAAAAGTGTGTACTAACAATAAAGGATCGTACAGGTACCAGGCTTCCTGAATTAAAATTCTACCTTGAAAGCTCACTCCATTGCTTCCAGAGCATTTCAGCTTTGTTTCCCACATCACAGCATTTTTCAACATAAAAACACCAGAAAATGCACCCAGACAACTGAGGCATTAGCTATATTTAAAACACAGCCTCTTCTCATCTCCTACTCCAGCCTAAGCCTCACTTCCACAAGACAGAGATAGCAAGAAAGGGATGGCACTGACAGCACTATGCAAACAGTGTCCCTGCTGCACAGGGTTCATTCCCCTATTTCAAATAAACCCTGAAAGCAAAGACAACTACTTTGGATGAGAACAGATGAAAAAATCTCTTGCTCTCTAAAAAACTCCAACAAACCTTCCCATCTGCCTACCTCTTCAGTTTCACATAAACTTTTATAAAGACTGAATTTTATCCTTTATTTTTATCCCTTGTAGTTTTTATATCATTAAATCTCTGTATTAGCTTTGACAGCTCACTACAAGAGGGGCCTGCCTGTATTTTTAAACATATGCAAATGTTATATGCATAATACAAAGCACAAATACAGCACCAGCAGCCACCCTTAAAGTCTGCTGGATGTTCCCAGTGCAAGGAGAGGCTAAAACAGTCCGACCTTG